TGCTTTTTAAAAAAGTGATAAATAATGCATAAATAAATAAATGATAACTAATGCAATTTAATACTAATAGAGGATGATAATGAAAGTGAAGATGTTAACCCTAGGAGATACAAACGAAGTAAGATGTCAAGTAAGTAACATTTTATCAAGAACATTTAAATATTATTTATTTTTATATTCTAATATCTGATATATTTTTTTTCATTATTACAGTTGAGTTTTTACTTAATTAAGTTGTTTTTGTTTCCGATTAAAATTTTTTGCTGTATATTTTTTTGTAAAATGGTACAATATTTTATTGCTTCATTTATATTTTTTAATAAAAATTTAATATATTTTACCTAAATAAAATAATTATCACTTGTGAATAATTGAAAAAATTTCAGGAATAGTGTAATTAGCAATCAAATAAAATTCGAATTATGATTTAAATTAATTTTTTCATTATGGAATTTAGTTAAATTTACAATAATGAATACTTCTTCGTTGGGGAAAAAAATAAGAATAGTATAATAAAGAAACCAAGAATTACAATTGATTCATCCACAACAATCTTCATTATAAAGTTTTGAATGAAGTAATTGGTGACAATTTCCTCTTGAAATGATAGAACTAATATACGAAGACTCTAATTTTTTGACTGATGATGCCATATTGATGAATTGCAATCTAGATAACCAGCACAAATTTATAGATTCCTAAACATAAACATCTTCGATTACTAATAAAATTTATTAAATAGTGGTCATTTGATTATTACTGGATAGGAAAAATACTTTAAAATACGATTTTCAAATCTTAAACCTCCGGAACTGCTATTACTAGGAAATGGTAAGTCCGGAGTATATATAATATTGTAAATGTGATCGTTATCTAATGATCGTATCAAAAAAAAATCTCAGAATTCCTTTCCCAAGTTACACTTTTGATATTTTTCCTTTTGCTGCATCAAAAATGTAACTTTGTCGTACATCCAATGTCCTACGCTACGCTCCAGTAAGAAATTAAAATTTTATTAAATCATGAGTATTCATTTCATTCGTTTATTTATTTATCTTAACTCAAGATATTCAGATGGTATTATGATTTCAATTAGAAAGTAAAATATATTAAATACGTCAACATATTTATTTCATTTTATCTATTTATTAAAATGAAATATAATATTTTTTATTAATATGCTATTATTAGGAAATAATCATTTTGAGAAATCACATATACTTCTACTGACTAATATATAATTTAATGTCGTTATCGGTGATGAAAATTATTAAAAAATTTGTTTAAGAGAAATAAAAGGATTTAAGAAAAATCATGCATACGATTTCCTTAATTAAAAGTTACGATGCCTAATTTTATTTTGATATAATTTTATTTCAATTTTAATATGGAATCATCGCTTAGTCTATAATTATTTTTTTTAATAATTTAGAAAGATAATTATTGTATGATAGAAATCCTAACGAAATTAATATATAATGAATTATTTTTTACATCAATTATTTTAATAAACTTAAATATAAATGCTACATGCACGTTGAAAAATCGTATCGTTTTATGCATATTTAATATAATTAATTGCTTCTTTTAAAAATATTTAAAATACTGTTGAGAGGTTTGTATATTTATTATAATTGAAGTTAAATCTTAAATTTAGTGCGGAACTTATTTGATCAAGTTTTAATGTAAAAATTTTAAAAATAAAACCAAATTGTAAAATATTTAGATAAAAATAAGCATTTATTTATATTATAATAGATTGTAAATTTTCTAACTAACTAAACTAAATAATTGAAAAAAATAATTGAAAGAATAATTGAAATTATTCGAATAATTAAACAAGAAACCACTAGAAATCGATCCCTACAAATCTAACATCATTATTCATATATCCCATCTTTCACTGCCTTGTTACACCCTTCTACCACCGCCTTAAGATCAATTTGTAATTCATAAAATGTTTTAATTTCTTCTTGACATTTCGAATCATCCCCAAATAATTTCTTAACTTTTTCCAAATTATTTTCCAAAAAATTCGAAGAATCGGAATAATTCATTTCCGTTCTAATTTCGTTAGACTTCATGATATATAAGTTCAAAGATCTTTTGATCTTATTATATGTTTTTATTTGTTGTTCGAAGTGATTTGTCATTTGCTGATATTCAGTTAACGTTTGAATTTTGTATTTGTTAACTGTTGCGGCGGAATCAGCAGAAGCAGATGTTCTAATAGTATTTGCGGAGGTTTTTTTCGATTTTCTACGTTCCCTTAGAATACGAAGTGGAACATCTTCTTTTGGATCATGTGAGGAGATGTCGTCATGTGAGGTCTTTTTGTTCAATTTTCTTCGTTTCCT